AAAATAATCTCTTGTGACAGAGGCTTATTATGAATGATGCCTTGACGCTGATAGTTGTTTTTTATAGACGGGTTTAACTTCTTTAGATTGCCATATGATTTCATAATGAGTCACGTTAGATAAATGTTAAAGTCAAAATCTGAATTATAATGAATGTATGTCATGTAATCCAAAACATGGTAACGGAATTAGAAGCTATCAATGCTGGAATGTGTTATTAAAGCACATGCTACATGTATAGAGGCCGGGCTGCTTGTTGAAAGATGTGATGTTGAACATGGACTTGGGAACACAGACAGGAAAATGACATCGTTATCTGTGAGAAGATGCTAAGCTTGTTTCCGTTGACTTTGATAATCCTGATGATAGACGTAGGAACACACAGCAACATGGCAGAAGAATGCCCTCTGCTGTTCATACAGATGTTCATATCAACATTTCAAGACCCAGAGTGAAGCGTTACTATCTGATGTGTCAGTGCATTGCTAAAAAAACAAGCTTGGTTATCCTGTGTGCGGGACGTCGAGTGAAACAAAAGTTTATCTGGTCCCGGGTCTGCCCTTTTTAAAACGTTTGTAGGGAGTGGGAGTTTTTAGTATAATTTGTTTCAAATACTGGCCAAAAATCTCGTTTACACATAAAAACATAACTGTTCATTGAATGTTATAGAAGTTCTGTTTCGCTTCCTCTTTCAGAGAAAATCTTTTTAAATGAGTTATCTAAAAAGACCCGTTGATGTTAAAATGTGATATTGATATAATATGTGTAATCGTCACTGCTTTGATCGTTGTTCACGACAACAGCCACTGGTCGACTGGCAATGACTTGATTACTTACTTATCGCTATGATATTGATGGAGTGAGAGTGAGAGCAATACTCCTGTACTATCACGGTGGAGGGCACCAGAAATGGGATTCTGACGTCCTACTCATGTGGGGAATCGAACCCTGTCCTTCAGCTTGACGACCAAACGGTTTAGCCACTAGGCTAACCACCGCCCCGTTATTGCTTGAACATCACTGATTCACACTATGTAGTTGCAGCGAGCACATGTATTTTAGCAACAGACACACTTCTTATAACAAAAGCGGAATTGCCGGAAAGACCTCCCGTCGGATGATTGTAATAAATTGTATCTGCAGCTAAGACCAAGATTATTTCTTTGCCTCTTACAATTACAAATCGGATTACGAGTTACCCTTAAGATGTAGGTCACTGGGCTTCAACTCCTGGATATAAACTTGGGTTGTATCTAGTTTCTCATCGGGATGAACCATGTTATTTCCTGTATCAAAACCTTTGATCCGGTCATGAAGTTATTGAATCCGCTTTCTGTGTCTGCCATTATGAATAGGAAAATTTAATGATGGAAAACAAATTTCCCACGGGATAATAAAGTACTATCTTATCTTTTCTTATGTCTTGGTGGGGTAGCCCGGAGAACTTGTCCCAAATGTATGTTGGTCGCAAGAGGCGACTTAATTTATCGGGTTGTCAGGCTTGATGACTTTGGTTGAAGGCGACAGTCCTATTCCCATGTTACCACACAGTCAGTTCTTAGTGTCGTTGTCGAGATATTATGCTGAAGTTGTTAATATCCTTATACAACGTTTCTTTCCATTTCCAGTTAAATATTTACGTAGACAATACGCCCGCCCGCTTCATAAGAACACTCTACGCTTTACATCATGTCCAAAGTACAAGGGGCAGTTGGGTAGCCTAGTGGTTAAAGCGTTCGCTCGTCACGCCGAAGACCCGGGTTCGATTCCCGACATGGGTACAATGTGTGAAGCCCATTTCGGGTGTCCCCCGCCGTAATATTGCTGAAATATTGCTAAAAGCGGCGTAAAACCAAACTCACTCACTCACTCCAAAGTACCTACAAACGAGGAGTGAACGTGTCCCCTTCTTGTCGGGAGAAATCCCGTAGTAATGCAGATCTTATGCATTTACCGCTTTGGTGAAACCCATTAGCACGGTTATGATGAAACTAAGAAACATTATCAGGGGGAATCAGGGATTCGAACACAGGACCATATGGTTCTGGAACCCCTAAAGGGCCCGGTTCTGCATAGGGAATAGGGGTAACTTAGACGACTGGGCCACCTGCTTCAAGTGAATCACATCCGTCGACAGGATACATGTATGTACACAGAATGCCTCTAATAGTTTGTTTAAAAAAAAAAAGATTTAAGGATTGACTGTGTATTTTCCGGTTCATTGAGGTATGAGTGAAAAAACAGATGCGGATTCTTCAAAAGGTTTGCAGTTTGCACGCAGCCTTTTCGATTTATACATCAATGACTCAAAAATAATACACTGTCATTCCTTTCAATCAAATGTTCTCAACAACAGTTTAGTTACAAAAAAGCGTATAAATAAGACAGACATCTGGTGAGATCAATGGATAGTCCTGGCGTAGGAAAACATCTTGTGGCGTTAATCAGGTGATCAGGTCTTTCACTGGCCAAACAACGCAGAGTAGTACCTAACAAAGTTCAAAGAGTCTGTCAATCAAGTTGCTCCACTGGAGTCGGCATACATCTAAAGGGAAACAACATCCAACTAGAATATGATTGGCTAGCCCTGTGTCATTAAAAAGGTCACAGCCATTACTATAGCTGCAGACACCTGTGTTAATTTATCCTTCCTACACTACATGTCTAGGTGTGTTGTTTCTCATTGTACCCGTGAAGATCCGGGTTAGAATTGGTCTTCAGCATCCAATGCTTGACGTAAGAGGCGACTAACGCGATCGGGTGGTCAGGTCCCCTGACTTGGTTTATGCATGTCATCGTTTCCCAATTACGTAGTCACGATTATTTACAGGCAATCGTCATACAGCTGCAAGATTGCAGAATGTGGCGTTAAACAACAAACAAAACAAATGTTTCACATTTCATTCTGCACACTCGGATGGGAATGATTAAGGCAATGGTACAAAATAAATTTCAATGTTTGAACGTGAAGCAGATCATTTATTTGAAACAGACTCTCCAATGCACTCCCTGTTGTCAAGTATTTTTCAGGGATTACAATGATCTCACCAACTTAAGATTTGTCCGGACCAATGGTACATTTCGTTTATAGCTAACAATGACCCTAGTCAAGGATCGCTTTGTGGAAGTAGATGGCGATTGTAGCCGAAGCCTAAGATCGCGACATTATGGACTTAGGATAAATGTACCGACATGGCAAGTGGGCAAAGGAAGAAAGTGGCAAGGTACTGCTTTCAGCTTGACCCGTGACGATCAGGGGTAGAATAGGTCTTCAGCAACCCATGCTTTCTGTAAAAGGCGACTATGATTGTCGTAAGAGGCGAATAACGGGATCGGGTGGTCAGGCTCGCTGACTTGGTTTCTCCATGTCATCGTACCCCAATTGCGTGGATCGATGCTCATGATATCAATCACTAGATTGTCTGGTCCAAACTCGATTATTTACAGACCGCCGTCATATAGCTGGAATATTGCTGAGTGCTGCGTTAAACAACAAACAAACAGACAGACAAACAAACAAACAAAGCTTTCAGCTTGCATTGGGATTTCCCGACATTCTTATTGTGGTGAAAGAGTCATCTCTGTGGGCGTGGCTTATTTGTTTCATTCATGGAGAAATGAATGCAAAACTAATTGACCCATTCAACCAATCAGATTGCAGGAATTACAATGAACACACACAAAAAGTAAAGTACGTAGATATAAAAACTAAAATGTCTCCCATCCCATTCTTCTTATATCTTTTTCGAAAAAACTAATATTTAATTTATTGTGGCCTAAACGAAGTTTCATCTGAAAGCTGCTTCATTGAAATATCATGATTGGTACGAGCACCCTTGGGGCTTATCTTTGATAGCGCCTACATCCGGGCAAGTCATGGCATCTTACACCTATCTACCGGTGCCATAGCTGTATCATGTTCCCAGGCTGATTGATCAGGGGGGGAAATGTGATGATTTGTTGTGATAGAGCCCCAATACACATGTTACATAAATAGGACAACTTGGCAATGATCGCCTCCCCACGTGTGATGGAAAACAGCGCCACCTCGAGAGCAGATTGTTGTTATTTCCCCCTGCTGCCCCACGTGCTGTGTTGCTCTATGTACAATTACCGCGTTTTCTAGCAAATGCTCTTCCGGTTTGCCAGCAATGGTGGACAGATTGATCGACGTGCCACCTGGCGGCCAAATGCTGTATGATATTAAATGGTGGTCTTTTAGGTCAAGTGAAATAATATGGATACATTATTAAGAGAGTAAAAAACGTTGACTTTTGAAATGTTTCGTTTCTGGTACACCATCTCAGGGTTCCAATCTCAACAACGGTACATCGTGGGTGCATTACAGGTGAACATTGTTACGTCTATGGAACGTGGTGTTACCGTAACTAAATGGACATTGTTTCTATGTTTGTTTGTTTATTTGTTTTTTTACGCCGTACTCAGCAAAATTCCAGCTGTATGACAGCGGTCGGTAAATAATCGAGTCTTGATCACACAATCCAGTGATTGACACCATGAGCATCGTTCTACACAATCTGGATACAATGACAACCAGGTCAGCGGGCCTGATCACCCGATCCCGTTTGTCGCCTCTTACGACAAGCATGGTTTGCTAAAGACCAATTCTAACCCGGATTTTCACAGGGGTGTTTCTATTTACTTCTATTCATTGGTATATGTCAATAAATAGTGTTGTGTTCGGTTCCTTTCATTGACATTATTACAGATTATTCCCCCAACATCATATCAGGTCATTCCATTATATAAGGCCTAGGTGCCATTGTACAGAAAAACCTTAGCGCTACAACTACAGGTATGGGAGCTACGATCACCTTAACACTACGATCGCTTTGTACAAGGCGCCCTGGTTTGCTGTGTGTATTAGATTCGTGATTTCGTGATTATGGAAAGGATTTTGTCGCTTTTTTCACATAATCTTTACTAACGTTCTTGTAGCTATATCAATGAAATAACTGTTCTTGTTTTATCTTTTTCAGACACAAGGATGTAGCGTCTGCGCCCGGATAGCCAACTCCAACGACTACTACCCCCCAGAACTCCATACCCACCCAGGGACCATCCTCAGCCTTGAGGGGGATTGGGTCAGTACAAGATGCGAGTCCAGACAACAAGGAATGTTCCTGACAAGATGGCTGACCTTCCTCCCAGACGGGCGGTCATGGCAAGGGATTTACGACTTCTTCAAGGACTCGTCATGCTCTGAGCCGACCTTCACCTTGACCGCTAAAGGAAATTACGTTGGAGGTGACGTTTCTTCCATAATTCCTCATTCAAAGGACTACAGCTTCAAGGTCACTCGTCTCAAGGTCACACCCAAAAGTGGCCAGATCGTGGGTCACCTCAATCACTATCAGGGCGGGAAGTGCGGTACCGATAGATCATGGGTGGTGGGCGTGGAGCAAGATGTAACCTTCACGAACGGATGCGTGACCTTGGGAATACAGCTCCCGAATATCGAACAAGAGATTCTCAAAATGGAGGTCGTTCACCGTCAGCTTCATCTTCTTGTGGGGTCAAGGTTCACGGACGCCCCCACAACGAGGTTCAGGGATAAGAGACCGACGTCATTCCAGGAGCCTCTTGTGAAGTGTGATCGCTTTCACAGTGACATTCACATCAACTCTATCTACGAGGGTCGGGCACTACCTCTCAGTGCGCCGCTCGTCTCTCAAAGCCTCGAATCCTCAAGCTGGGTAGCATGCCCCACTGTCCTCCTTATTCTACTAGTAACACTCTTACAGATGTAACGGCCCTGTAAGTTTCCCTTAGGATCTATACAATGGTCTCAGCCCTCATGTTTAACCAAACAACAAGTCTTCGATCTTATCTTATCATGTTAACATTTAACAGTGTTTGACCCTAATCAATCGTATCTAGCATTTAAGCAAATGGGCGTTGTACACTAAATATAGATTCAATTGAAAGCTGTTGAATTCAGTACCTGTAAATCAAGTGATATTGTCACACCTGGGACAGGTAGAAACTAACAAATAGAAGTATCTTCTCCGTATGGTGATATATACATAAAGAAAAAATATAATTTCTACTTGTCCTATTGATAACCTATCCGTATGTTTTTTTTTTGGTTACAAAATGGCCAGTAATGCAGTTCGATGTCTTATTGGTTTTTTTGTGTGTAATTCATCTGTACCAATTCCATGAAACCATGGAGATGAAATTGCTACAATTGATAAAGGAACTCTTTCGATGGATAATATTTCATAATTAATAATGTTTCAAAATGCTGATTTAATGACGGTCTGCTCCAAGCACTCAGGGTAAACTACATACGTAGATTAGCTTTACAGATATACTTTGAAACATTGTACATACTTTATATGGTTATGATGAACTATTGTCGATTTCACCAATCGTTGTGTTCAGTCCCTAGATCCTAGTGCTGGTACATATTGCTGTCAATCAATGTCAGTGTCTATTATACATGTATATAACGCATATCACTTTGTCTATGTTGCCCTACAGTTTTTGATGTCATCAATTACGGCTCTTGTCGAGTCATTAGATTATATTGTGGTTGTTAGCAATCTATATAGACTTGCTGAAAGTCTCAAATAATTGGTCTTCTGTGAAACACCATTTATCCGAACTCTACCGTTCCTGGTTAAATCCGGGCATTTCCTTTCTCGTTTATCCAGTTATCACATCTCCATTTTACTCTTGATCTTAATAGAATGGAGATAGGTAAATAAAATCATTGGATAATCGGGAATCGGACATTTCTTGATTAAAGAGTCACTGGTAAGTGATGATATCAATTATAAATATATAACGGTATTTCCAAATGTAATCGTCCGAACATTTCCGAACTAACTTTTTTCTCTTTTAATTTCAAACGAAGAGAGAAATTATTGTTCAAATAAATTTTAGAACAGGTCTCAGATAGTGGGATTCATTCGATGCTCGTGAAATTGCAACGCTGTCAGTATCGTTTTGTGTCAAAACGTGTGAATAAGGAACCTTCTTCATTTTTGTAAAACAGTACTTTATGAATACCACTCAAAACAACTTAAGGTTCATATTTCACACCATTATTTCGTATATTTGTTGTACAACATAATTATCGAACACCTTGATGTATCGTTGTAATTGCATATAATTGCGTGGATGAGATATTTTTTGTCGTTTCATTTTGGTTTGATATCGTCACATGCAGCAAGATGCAATTGTGAATATCTGTATTTCGTTATGTATCGACACACGTGGTACTTCTATAATAACCGTGTTTAATTCACTAGGCTGTGCTTTCTTTAAGGTCGTCCTCTGGATTTGGTTTCTTGTTTGACGCCGCACTCAGAAATGTTCCAGCTGTATGACGTCGGTATGGATCGAGTCTGGACCAGACAATCCAGTGATTAATGTCATGAGCATCGATCCACGCAATTAGGATCGATGACATGCTTAAACCAAGTCAGCGAGCCTGACCACCCGATCCCGCTAGTCGACTCTTATTACAAGCATAGTCGCCTTTTACGGCAAGCATGGGTTGCTGAAGACCTATTCTACCCCTGATCGTCACGGGTCTCGTCCTGTGGAGAAACTACACCATTGTGTTTGTGTGTCTATGTTGGCTGAGCGCTGCTTTGAACATTTCAATAACGCCTGTCATGTCAGTTTAGTGTCAGTGGAGAGAAGCCCACAGCGTTAGGTTGTAGACGTTTATCACATTAGTGAAACCCACGAGCACAGACATGGTGCCTAGAGACCAAGAATCATGATTGGGTTCAATCCTGGGATTCAAACTCACTACTAGCAGATTAGACCCTTTTCACAAATTCACCGTATACATTGATACCTAACTTTCTTAATAGTTATAATAGTAATATTTGATATAGCAACTTCCTTAGACATACAATACACTTTATGATCCGATTTTCAATACTAAACCAAAATGATATTTTACAATTTAGCTTTAAGTGAGAACGTAGTGCAGTGTACCATTTGAAATATTATGTTGTTTTCAGATTCATAATGTCATCTTTGAAATTTGCCACCATTCATCCTCGTTCATTCCCATGTGTTATTTATTGTGTACATTGTGTAGAACATCCGCTAAACACATCTCAGGTCGCCATGGCAACGTTATTGTTTGTGACGTCATACCGAATCTTGTACAGTGTAACATCGTGTTTTACAGTGTATGTACCATTGAATGACTTACAGATGTAAATATTAGTTACACATGCATGTAAAAATTATGACACTGAAATGAATAAAGAATGGTTACCAACTGCGCCATCTTGTCAATGTTGTTGTCAAGCTGCTGACAAAAGTAACAACTGAGCAGAGATATGTGTCTCTCTGTTCATCTCCTTTTGGGTGTCTGAAAACATGTTTGTTTGTTTGTTTGGCGGGGCATGAGAGTTTACTGGGTTCTGTTCTGTTCTTATAGGCTGTTATCTGGCGTTTTGTCTGACTCCGTAGTGTTCGTAGGACTCTTATCTGGCGTTTTGTCTGACTCCGGGGAGTTCGTAGGGCTCTTATCTGGCGGTTGGTCTTGACTGCGGAGAGTTCGTGGGGCTGTTATCTGGCGGTGGTCTGACTGCGGGGAGTTCGTAGGGCTCTTGTCTGGCGGTTGGTCTTGACTGCGGAGAGTTCGTGGGGCTCTTATCTTGCGTTTTGTCTGACTCGGGAGAGTTCGTAGGGCTCTTTTCTGGCGGTTGGTCTTGACTGCGGAGAGTTCGTGGGGCTCTTATTTGGTGTTTTGTCTGACTCCGGAGTGTTCGTAAGGCTCTTATCTGGCGGTGGTCTGACTGCGGAGAGTTCGTAGGGCTCTTATCTGGCGGTTGGTCTTGACTGCGGAGAGTTCGTAGGGCTCTTATCTGGCGGTTGGTCTTGACTGCGGAGAGTTCGTGGGGCTGTTATTTGGTGTTTTGTCTGACTCCGGAGAGTTCGTAAGGCTCTAATCTGGCGGTGGTCTGACTGCGGAGAGTTCGTAGGGCTCTTATCTGGCGGTTGGTCTTGACTGCGGAGAGTTCGTGGGGCTGTTATCTGGCGTTTTGTTTGACTCGGGAGAGTTCGTGGGGCTCTTATCTGGCGGTGGTCTTGACTGCGGAGAGTTCGTAAGGCTCGTATCTGGCGCTTGGTCTTGACTGCGGAGAGTTTGTAAGGTTCTTATCTTGCGGTTGGTCTGACTGCGGAGAGTTCGTGGGGCTCTTATCTGGCGGTGGTCTTGACTGCGGAGAGTTCGTAAGGCTCTTATCTGGCGCTTGGTATTGACTGCGGAGAGTTTGTAAGGCTCTTATCTGACGGTTGGTCCTGACTGCGGAGAGACCGCAAGGGTCTTATCTGGCGGTTGGTCTTGACTGCGGAGAGTTCGTAAGGCTCTTATCTTGCGGTTGGTCTTGACTGCGGAGAGACCGCAAGGGTCTTCTCTTGCGGTTGGTATTGACTGCGGCGAGTTCGTAAGGCTCGTATCTGGCGCTTGGTCTTGACTGCGGAGAGTTTGTAAGGTTCTTATCTTGCGGTTGGTCTGACTGCGGAGAGTTCGTAAGGCTCTTATCTAGAGGTTGGTCTTGACTGCGGAGAGTTGACTGTCATCCGTCAACCACTTTAGCACCCGGTGTTTCAAAATTATGTTCCATTACACACACAATCATGCGACGAAAGTCGGTTATTATCGAATAATATTCATTGACCTAACTAGAAATTCCAGTTTTGTTATATTTCATGTCCGAATAAAAATGTTTTCTTCTGTGTTATCATGTAATTTTGTGATCGTCGACCTGGCCTTGTCGTGGGGGGTAAGAGCAGGCGATTTAACATCTCACAACATTGTCATAATATGGCAAGGCTCATATTCGGTGGATGGTCTAACAGTGGAGAGTTGAGTAACTAACATACGGCGTTGGGTCTGCCTGCGGAGAATTGACTAGACTCACAGAACCCAACTAGACAGCAATATTGCAACTTAAACAACACAGACGATAACTGTTGGAGCATGGACAGGCAAACCAGTGGTTGATAGAATGATGACACACAATCTGCAAGGCACAGCGGGTGGCGATGCCACTCCGTAACAACGTGATGGGCATAGCGCGAAATTCAATATGGGTTTAAATAATAAATGACGTCTTTCGTATGTGAAATATTCGGTTATTTAGTGCAGGATATATTCCAGGGGGATATTTCCCCAAATGTCTCGAATCCCTCGCTCCAAGACAACCTCAATTCTTAAGCTTGTTTTTCAATAGGCACCAACAGTTTTCGGTAATATTGACATCTGGTGATTATGCCGGACACAACATTAAATTTATGTTGATCTGTTGAACGGGCGTATTTTTATCCTGGAAAATACAATTGTTTCCCGTGACCTCGCTATGACATTCCGCAAGTGAGAATCGTGTATATCGAACGTAGGCACAAATCCTTTTGAACGGCTTCCGACGGTACAAAAAGTCATTGCGGTGAGGTGAGGTGAAATGGGGTTTTTGCGTCGCTGAAACAATTAAAATATATTATTTTACTTGCCTATGTATGACGTAATCAATTGTGCAGGGGATGACCGAATTTGGGTCATGGGACACACAAGCCCGAATGTCAGGATCACAAACGACAAGGCCGGAAATCATGATCACACACAAGGTCGGAAATCATTATCACACATGACAAGGTCGGAAGTCAGGATCACACACAAGACCGGAAGTCATAATCCTTCACAAGGCCGGAAGTCATAAACACACGCAAGGCCGGAGGTCAGGATCACACACGACAAGGCCGGAAGTCATGATCACACACTAGGTCGGAAGTCATAATCCTTCACAAGGCCGGAAGTCATAAACACACGCAAGGTCGGAGGTCAGGATCACACACGACAAGGCCGGAAGTCATAATCCTTCACAAGGCCGGAAGTCATAAACGCACGCAAGGCCGGAGATCAGGATCACACACAAGGCCGGAAGTCATATCCGTCATAACATTGTATTGAAAGTCAGTGCGAAAATATCGTTTATCAAAAAACACACAAAACTCATTCCCTCATCCTCATGTTAATGTCCATCTTAACATGTCCAGACAGAAAATCGTACACCGCACAGAAAATAAAATAAAGATGTGAAATTGCCAGCCGGTTTCATATCTTATTCCTATGACCATGTCACAGACAGGGACAACATTCATCCACCATATTTTATTCATTCTTACAGACTTGGGCGAAAAATATTAGCAATATCCCGGCAATATCACCAGCCTTTCTATACTCAATAAAGTTTGACAAAGGGTCTTTGTTCACGTTTCCCGCTGATGCTGACTTGTAACGTAACCTGCCATAAACATGTCTTCCTTTTCACCGGAGGAACTCATGAGTTCTCAAAAATATAGCAATCTCATGTCCCTGGTCGCAGGTCACCTCGTAGACACATATATTGTGCGTGATGAAAGGCTTGAATTTACGTATCTGTTGCATATCCGTTTCACGAAATCTCGACAGACTATGAAATAAAAATCTTTATAATTAAATCTCTAAAATACTGGAGCCAGCTTGTAGACCTGGAACCTTTCCTCTACTCTACCAAAACTCTACTTAGTGCTGTGTGGTTTCATTTCAAATAAATAATGGCACTGTGCGCTCTTCTCCCAAACACATAACACACTATTGCCAGTCGTTTAGTGCACTCCTTTACCCAAACTAAAGAAAGATAAATATTTTTGTTACATCGGAATATTTCCTTGATGGAGATAACGAATTTGTCGGTACTGTTTCCAGAATTAAAACAAAAATGGTTCCTTTGTTTGTTCTGGGTCTATTAAATCTCGCCGGTACATTTCGTCATCCAACATTCAATAAACAAGAGAATATGTGGTTAAAATAATCCAAATCGTAAATTAATTCAAAATGGTGAATAGCTCTTGTCAACTCAAGGCCAAGAAGCCTTCAATGCTATTAACACGTGGCGTGTAGACGATGAAATATACAAGCATTGATGTTTATTATAGTGCACTGAAATAGACATGTTTGTCAGTGAAATGTATTGCGGAGAGGATCTGCCATGAGATACATTTAAAATGTGCACGTTGCTATGCGATACGTTGCATGCCAAGTGCACGGACTTTCTGCAAAATGTTCGGTGAAATAAGGTGCAGTTTGCAGTTTTCTTATCTGATCCCCATCAAGCCGCGTGGGGTAGATATTTGAAATATGTATTTGGTACATAACTGATCTTATTTTATACGTCAAAAACATATCGTTCTCTTTCAGATTATTGTACGTACAAGCCTGTGTGTCATACCGATTTCACGAAACGAGTGTGAGAATTCTTACACTTTTAGCGGGGATAATAAATGAATTCTTACATGTGTGCGTAAACCCATTATGACGCACATGCGAGTGCAACAGTTTCTTTATTTCCAATTATTTCTTAATCCTTTTGAGCTCGCTTTCAGAAAAATGCACTATTCACGACATCCGTCTTTGAAAAACCCAATTGGCGAATGACGCGAATCAGCTATGACGTCGTTTCTAGTGTGACGTCATTCTGACCTTACATCACAATAAGATTCGAATGATGTCAAATGCCGTGCTGATGACGTAAACAATACAACGATGTATGTGAAGTGAAATTTGCACTAGTGGACATACGATTTTTATATGAACTCTGTTATTTCTAATCCCATGGGGAAATAGAATACATATTACTGAACAACAAAAGTTCCTGTGACATTGAATACGATTTAATGCAAAGTTATGTTTTTTACCAAATCTGAAACAATTTCGGTTTGCAACAGATAAAAGACTCCTGTAAGTGTTCAAATGATTTAATTTGCCATACTGAGTTCAGAAAATGTGTGATTTCATAAAAAAACAAAAAACATGAACATGCTAAAATGTCAATTTACAAATCAATAGCGTGTGTGTCTACCTCTGGTTGCGATGCAAGCAACACATCTTCGTCTCATGGAATGGACCAGGCGTCGCACAAAGTCCTGTGGGATATCTGTCCATATCGGCTGGAGCATGTTTCGAAGTTCCTGGAGTGTCTGTGGAACACGTGATTGACGTCGAAGGCGCCGATCCATCTCATGTGGTCGATTTGTGAGAGATCAGGGGAGTGAGCCGGTCAGGGGATGGCATTCACAGTTTTTTTCGAAGGGAATCCTGAACAAGTCGAGCAATATGAGGCCGGGTGTTGTCATGTTGAAATGTAATGCCTGGGCCATGACGACTCAAAAACGGTAGAACAACAGGGCCGATGATTTCGTCGCGGTATCGCTGTCCATTGATATTTCCTCTACCACTA